AAGACCGAAAAGCCGCCCGAGCCACGCAGCAAATACGAAGTGCCGCCAGAGGACGATGCTCCGTGCCGATCGTCGATTCCGACCGAGCCTCCATAGAGGCTCCGCCTCGAACTAGCGATGGCCTCCAACCTACAACATGATAAGTAACATGATACAACAGTTGGTTGATTGCGAAGGAAGTGCCGACACAAGAAGGCCAGACTGGTTGGTCTGCGTATGCTGTTCATACATGTGAAATTTCCAGAGGCACGATCACCAACGGCTTGTTTGATATTTTTGTGCCAACTGGGGCATAGGCCAGTGCAATTAAACGTATTTGCAGTTGTTTGGGGGTTGCGTTTTGTGACATCGCTTCGTCAACAGGGTTCCCACTGTGGGGCTCATTCTGCATTCCTGTCACAGACACAGATTTTGCTAGGTGTCGTGTTCACTTGGCACTGGCAAGTAGGCTGAATAGACCGAGTATGTACAGTAGACCTTTTGATGACTCGGACTTTCTGCTTGATGCTTTTGCTTCGCAGGATTGGGTACCTCCAGATACCTTCCCAGAGAATCGCTTTCCCAATGGGCAGCTTAAGCACTTTGGCTTTTTGCGATTTGCCCACCTGACCTAAGTCCTCTCATTTTGAGACAGAGCAGTCCCATTGCCATTCCACGTGCATCCAGGTGGCTCAATTACAAAGTCCCGAGACATTTCCAGGAACCATCAGGAATCCATAGCCTTGAAATTGACTTTTCTGAGGTTAACGGTTAAGTTGACTTTTAAAGCGATCGACGACAATCATACCCTTCTTTCACTGTCGTTCGGATATTCTTGGCCTTCGGCTGAGGCCACACGGTCGGGAACTTGGTGACCAAGGCCTTGCCTGCTCAGACGGTCGGCACAGACTGATCCGCTGGAAGTCCACTGAGGTCAAAAGATGAAATGTGACAAAGGCATTGACTTTGCGCAGACCTGCCCCATTGGCTGGACCTATGTCTCATGTCACAAAAAAAGCATAGCGCTTTTCTGACAGGACAATGCCTCCAAAGGCCCTTTCTCCAAATGAGAATTATGAGTTCTGAGGTGTTTTCCACATTTCTTTTTGTCATTAGAAATCCCACCGGTGCTTGGTGTCATAAATTTATGAGTCTATGAGTCCCGCTTGCTCTGCCATGAGCTCAGGTGCCTAAAGGATTGAATGGTCCAGAGTGTAAGGCCCCGCCAAATTTTTATACAGAAACATGGCGACATCAGAAGTTTTGTTGCATGCAAGCGTCAATGAGTCAATGAGTGCTTTTCTGTGGAAGTCAACGCTTGGAGCCCGCTTCATGGTGACGTCTAGCATGAAGAAAAGAGTTGTAAGACATTTGTTCATGATAGGTATGTGATGCTTTGTAGGTAGTTGGAGTAGTTTGTGACACTTGAGCTTGATGGACCATCACCAGTTTTGTGGGCCATCTCAGGAGACCAATTGGTGCCGACAGCAGCTTACGCAGCGACAAGCTATCCCCGCATCCATAGATGAGCGATCAGGGAATGAATCAAGAAGTGAACCGGTTCAGCAAGCACTTGAACATCTTGAGCTCTCAGAACACAATTGTTTAAGCAAGTTTGTCCTTGTGTAGGGCGGCACTGCTGCAGCCATGCAGCATGATGCATTCTTGACAGTGTCAGTCAATGTGTGATTAGTCCAGCAGGTTTTGGCTTGCTGAGATTTGATGTGCCAATGTCTTTTACTCAATAGATCTCAATAGACTCAAACCTGCGTGATTTGTTGTACATCATTGAAGACTGCGGAACACCTTCCCAACGGTCTCCCGTGAGGAGTGGAGGAAGAAGGAACTCTATGATGCATGTTGCTTGGATGCTGTGGACAAATGACGTTGGTACTCGAACCTGGTCGAGTGCACGACCATGGCGCCATGACAGCATAATTACACAGATGTTGTCAGGCTGGTTGCTGTGGCCCTGCCGTGATTTGAAGCACAACTACCGAAGGCCGTGCCCACAGGGTTGGACTTGGGAGCATCTTGGCACAGAAAAACGGCATCTAAGGCCAAACCGAACTGTTGTCACCAAAGCCAGAGCCAATCTTTAAGCAGCGCAACTGGGATGCAAGCGACTTACGGTCTCTCCGCGGCGCTGGCTCAGACTTGTCCGGACTCTTCGTCCGTGCTGCCAGTCGTTTCACACGTTACTTCGCGGCAAAAGCCCGCGAGAGATGTTGCAGCTGCAGGATGCGCTGCAATTTGGAACCGTTGGGAGCATTGCTACGATGATATTGTACTACTACACGGAGAGGCCACAGAAAGGGCAGAAGAAAGCATGCAAAGTCTAGGAAAAAAGGCTGCTTTGCGTTGAAAACAACCTTTGCATTGTGAGATCTTGAGGTAGTTGTGCTCAGTCATTTCATGTTAATGTCATTTGATTACTTGTCCCATCTCAATAGATTTAGGCTTTTGTTTATAGCAACGCTTGCCTCTTCAGGGTGCTAACTTCGAAAGAGTGGCTGCCGGGCTTTGCAAGAACATTGTCCAGCTGGAAAGTGCCGTCCAAGGTCACGGAGAGACCTGACGTCGTTGCACGTGGCTCAGCGGCATGTCGTGCATCATTGGGATGCTAAAGTTTCGAGGTGTCCAAAGATGATGCAGTCGGCAAAGATGACTGAGCGACCGCGACCGGAAACAACATAGCAAATTGGAATAACCTGGGTACATTAGCAGCAGATCCAGTTAGAAACATTATTCTTCCGCGATGTGCAGTGTGTTTGCGAGGGGTGCTCATTGCGGAAGAGCAAGACTCATGTCACTCATGTCACTCATGTCGGACAGTCAGGGCCTCACGGTCGGTGTGGTATATAAGATACGATGTCCAGACCAGACTCCACTATGACTCCATGACATCTTGGCCTGTAATACGAATATAACTACATACAATTGATTAATGGTATGCGAGCTGGGAGTCTTGCACTCGGCGAGCTCCAAGGCATGCATCAAAAGAGAGAGATTTTTCTACAGGCAGGGAAACGCGGAAAAAGAACGCAGTCTTGCAATGTCTTGCAACAACGTTGTCTTGGTTTCCTGGCAAAGGAGATTGCGGCAGCATGGACTCCAATGATCGAATCCTTTTGGCTTCCGTACTTTCTGTTAGCCTCTTGGCGGCCCCCGGTCGAAGCAGTGCTAGAGAGAGGCCAAGAGTTTTGTTTGCTTTGATTGGGTGGGTCTTCGGATGCTGATTGGTTTCTGGTTGGGAACTGACTATTTTAGCATAAATACATGTCAGGCAAGGGCTGTCACTGTATTCCTCGTCCTCCTCTTCGCACGCGCAAAGGGCTAGTCAAGCTTCGGACCTGGTGCCAGTCCAGCGGGCACACAATCGACATGTTTATTGGTGGACCTGGTGCCAGTATAACATGCAGCACACATGAACAACAGATACTTATACTTAGAATTGCTTACACACATGTGAGCAAAAATGGCAGATGTGGTGCCAGGACATAGTATGACATAGGTGCTCAATAGCATGTCAGAACAGGTGCCAGAACATCTACAACTAGAACACATGTGAGAACAAAATGTCACAAAGCTATGCAAGACTTGATGCCAAACCATGCGTCAAAATAGATAAACATAACTGTTAGAATGCATGCCAGGACAGGTCCGAAGGCGTACCGGACTTGATGCCAATCATGTCAGAACAGGCCAGGACAAAGGAATGCGAAACATATGGCAGATTTAGATTTGATGCTAGAGACCAGTAGAGCATATGCAATAAAGGTCAAACCAGTTGCAAACAAACAACATTGATTTCAGACAACATGTCAAAACAGACGTCACAACTTGTGCCACGCGTATGCCAGAATAGATTTCCGGATTCCGAATGCTTGTTAGAACATATGGCAAGAACATACATCAGAGCAAATGCCACAGGACGACAAATACGTGAACAAATTCAAGTGCATCTAACAGTGCATATGTCGGCTCATGTGTCAGCCGTCAGCCACTATGCCAGGCCATTTGTCAGAATTGCCTATCATTCTTCCAATCACCTCTCATGGTGGAGACCGCTTGAAGCAAAGTAGTTTACCGTATTATAAAGTTTATCAGTGTCTGGGCTATGCCGCTGTGGTTTGCTTCGTGCTGGCACCCTGTGACATCCTTTTCGTTATTTGAAGGTATGGGGTCTTGACACCCCGCACATGCATTGCAGTTTCCACCTGAGGTGAACTACTATGCATTCGGTTGCCTTGATCAAGTGCCTTGTTTTCTCAGCGGGGCCATTGCTGTACCAGCTTTGCGACAGGTGGCAAAGCCGTATGGTGGTAAATTGACGCTTGGAGTTGGAAAATTGACGCGATGCGGGACGAATCCGGCATGGAGACAAATGAAGCACCCCTTCAAATGCATAGATTTTCAGACCCGATGGCACCCGGCCAGGCTCCATTGCATTTTTGTTGTGGTGAGAGGCCTACTGTACCTGCGGGTGTAGTTTGCACGTTGACATTTGTCAATTTGTCTAGATGTGTCGTTTTCATGGATAAAAGCCTTGAGTGCAAAAGCGCAAAAGCTGACACGAGAAGGTAGCCGCAGCGGGGTCGAATGTGGAGCTATCAGCACAGGTTGTGTGATTGGGGAATCATGTCCAAGGGGTGCAGAGACAAATCGGCAACCTGGAGCTGTTCATGGCAAAACTTTTGCCCGCTGAACATTTGGTCGTCAATGTTGAATGCGGATTGTTCGGCGAGTGTTCCCAAGGACCTCATCCATGATGCAGCGATGCACCTTTTCCCTTAGCCTAGCCATTCTTTTGAGCACGGCAGGGTTCCCACGGGAGCGCTTGGGATGTTATTGCTTACCTCGCTGGCTGCAAGTTTTGAGTTGCCCAACGGGGCGATAATATATTATACACATCTTGTAGTTTATAACTAACGATATAACTAACCTGCAACAACATCTTGCTAATTAATTGGATTGTCAGATGATTTTTCTGACTGGGACAGCTTCACGATGCACACCCGATGCAGGAGTTGATGCCCATCCTGTACGTGGCTCGCATAATGGTTGGCACCTTTGCGACCGATGTTTGCCAAGTAAACAGAACGATGCTTGGTTTTACTTCTTTCCCCGGCCGGTTGCTACCACCAGGCTTACCAATTCTTTGGGACTGAAAGTCTGGGCTTCTTGAAGACTTGCATAATCTCTTTGATGCCTTAGCAGCCTTAGCAGAAGCGTTTTGGAACAGCTAAGACGCCTGTATTGGAAGAAGGCTTTTAGCTTAAGTGATCTTAAGTGTTGGCACTTTGCCTCTTGTTTTTGGACTAGGAGGCCTTGGACTTTTTGGATGCTGGCGTAAGCAGTTGTAGTCGTCCTGGAGCAGAAGTGGGATGGGATGATCCTCCAAAAAGGAAAAAGGAACCAGTCCTATGACGTCCTACGATTTTACGCTTTGAGCTCTTGCTTTTTTGTCGTCCCTGGCACAAGTAGAAAGTTAGCAAGTACGGATCGGTCAGGTTTTGCTTCGCAGCTTTTGCTGTGGTCCCAAACCGCCTCAATCCTTGAGGAATGCTTTGCTTGCCCCAGCTTACGTGATTTCGAACTGGGTGCAGAAGGACAGCGGTTTTAGATCCGGTGCCTCGAAGTTTGTCCACATGACGCAGCGACCAAGGGAATCTATGGGGCCAGCTATGACTTGCCTTATTGTACTGCGCTTTAAAGTAGAACCTAGCTTTTGCAATCCTTCTTGTTCACAAGCAGTGCGTTTGCCTCCAACATGCAAGTGTTTGTAAAAGATACTGTATATTGTTCGACTTCATTGAAACAGCGTACCAGCCACAACGTTGCATTGAGCACTTGAACAACTGTATCCTGTTGCTGCGTTGTTCTGCCTTTAAAACTTTTTTGATGCTTTTCTGCATGCAATGTCCAGGCACTGCAAAGATACCAGCGTAAAGTGCACATGGAGCACTCACATGCTAATTGGCGCGAGGCACCCCAATGCTGAACATGTCGGAAGCAATAGTTCAATAGTGGATGCTCGCAAGCCAAGACACAAAATTTATGCTGCATGTTCGGGCTTAAATCGAAGATGTGATGATGTTCAAAGTGCTGTACAAAAATCAGCACAACCCAAGCGTTGAAAGAACACGACGGCAAGAAGCTACTGAGTTGAATCCGTCACCCATGGATATATTTCATGTACACGCATTGGCATACACATCCTGCACATGTTACTGGCATGTCATATGTGCATACAGATTTTTGTTGGGGGGGCAGGGGACTGCTAAACGTGGGACATGCGTCGATCCGTTCCATCCGTTCCGTCTCCGCCCCAGGACGCCGGTGAGTCGATTCAATTGATCTTTATGATCATAGCAGAGGCGCCGAACACGCAAGTCCTAGCGTCGCTCCTAGCAGTAAGGCCAGGAGCCCTGTTCGTAGCGTCCTTGCTCCCAGGTCTTCTTTATTTCAATAATGGCATTGATCCTCTCCACCTTGTATGAGAAAGAGTACCAACTCGCTGCAGCCTCTTTGGAGCTCGAAGAGAAGGCCCTGTACAACACAAATCAGTTTATATACATGAATAGAATTAATCCGTTAACAACTTCCCGCGACAAGTGTCAGACAAAAAATCAGAATAGACATGATTCATCATGATTCTACTGTATGTGATTTTAGCCCGAGGCAAGGTGGGTGTTTGCCTTTTTTTCTTCAGCCTGAGGTGGAAGAAGTGAAGCAGGCGGAGCGGAGCGGCGTAGCGGCGCAACGACTGCTGGCTGTCACTTGTGATGCTTCTGCGCGGCTCACTGGAGACCTGAGGAGCGGATCTGAGTGTTCACATGTCAAATCCATAGGATTACATCGGAGCACGGTATGCACGAAATCCACACACACACACATATATATATATATACATACACTACATATACACTTTATGTACTTTGATGCTACGGTGTTCTTGACGTAGGACAGACATACAGACACACAATGAAGGAGATCTACACTTAATTGTATTGTTGAAAAGGATCGACTGTATTTACTATCAATGAGATAGAGGCCATGAGAAATGAGGATGGTGAAGAATGGTGTGATTCAGTAGGCACTCGTGCAACTAGACATGCTGTTTGTTAAATTTCTTACTCCATTGGACTTGCATCATGCGGCAGGGTCGCGCAACCTTCTCCGAGCCTATCAGACTTGCTGATGTGCGGCTTCGGTAGAAACTCTGGATGCAATCACTTAGAAGGGGTGCCTTGGATTGAAGCGGGTTGGCTGCATTGGCCTTGATCCGAATTGTTCAATGCATTGTTTTGGAAGTCTGGCCCTTTCGAAGGTTCCATTTATGCGCTATGTGGATGCCTCTGACCAGCAACGCTTAAAGGAATTTGTGGAGGAGTCAGCCAAAGCGATTGCACCACCCAGGTGGCCAGAAATGAAATGGAGATTTGGGATGATTTGGGTAAGTCACGTCACCTTGCAAAGAATAGAAATGAACTCTAATAATGACCGGCTTGCCATTTCCGATGACGTTTGGGCCTTCTTACGGCGCTTTTTCAGGTCGATTCATCTCCAAATGAGAGACTCGGGGGGGATCTCCTTCAATGCAGAGCTCTTCCACGTGTCTGTACCCAGTTTGACTTCCGAAGACTATGAGCACCTCATTGGCATCAATCAGGAGAACGTTCCAACCCCCCAAAAAGAGGCAGCTCCATCGGTCGCATATGGACCACCGCTTCAGGTTCATCCTTTAAAAATAGATAGGCCACTGACTCACCACTGCGCCCGGAGTCGGGACAAGCCCTTGGTGCCAGGAGAATAGCGAGCGTGCACTGCACCAAGCAGATGAGCTGCCAAGTTGCAGACATGGCCGGAACGATGTTTCCTCCATGAAGCCGCCTTTTCTCGGTCACTATGGAGAACACCACAAACCTGTCCTTCGCCGGCTGACGCCACTGCTTTTGAGGGGTCCACATGATATGAACTTTATAGTTATATTAATATGCTGTATTACTTTTCAAGACCTGTCAAGATCCCATTCCGTTGTGAGCACTGTGCACTGGAGGCCGCAGTTGAACTGAATTGATTTTCCACCAATGGAAGCGAGTAATAGCAGTGCTAGCAGTAGCAATCATTTTTCTGAAGACCGCCTTGAGGCAACCAGGCGTTGAGAATATTCAGTCCCTGCCCTCCGATATGCGTCACATTCTTGGCTACAAATTGCCTCAGACGTACCTTGACCTGAAGCGTGTCGACCACATAGAAGAGTGAGTACCACAGGTGGTTGGTCGCCACGGAGCTGTACGCCACGCAGCATTGAACGCCAACCCGAGCTGTGCGTTCTACTTCTTGTTTGAATCCGCTTTGGCAGACATCATGTCACTATCAGTTGCTGCTAGCCTGGTGGCCAAGGCGAAGAGCAGAGCAGCCTAGTCTCAACCGTTCGTCTTCAGAGAGTGATGGAAGGAACCCGGATGCAACTCCCGTGCGCCCGAGAGACTGTGGCAAAATGTTTGATTCCAAGTATTTCAATCAATAGCTTTATCTTAAGGAGGCGGATTCTGCTAAGATCTGCTAAGTATCGAGAATGAATCAAGCAAACATGAAACACATCGGAAAGGGAGCACTTGAGTCGTGTGCTATTTGACACTGCGAGGACTCGTAGCTCCCAAGAGGCCAGCAGCAAGACGAACAACCTGGTCCGCCTTCGTATGCTGAAGCGTCTTGTTCGGGTCATAAGCGGGGAACCTTGTTCGGGTCATTGGCGGCACACGGCTCTGGGGCAGAACGGTTCTGCGAATGGCATCAGGAATGTCAACTTTGTGGTGGACGTCAGATCTGATGACTTCGTGATCTACTCTGTCCACTTGGATTTTGCACAGACGCACAAATGTCCCATGGAGGCAATGCCAAAGCTTCTTGAATGGGTCAAGCCCAACTACAGGCGAGAACCGTGAATGTTTGATACTGGGTACATGTGGAAGGCAATGTTGCGAAGAATGATGTAACTATCACAGCCTCGTATATGTTGAGGAGTAGCAGTCGAAGTTGCTTGAATCTGCCTTTGGCCACGAAATGCTTGCCTTTGCTTGCGAAGTGGTAGGTCAGTGGTCAACAACTGGGTGCAAGAACAAGCCAATGCCCATTATGCTAGTGCTGATAGTGGCAGGGCGAAGAAGGACCGCTAAACGACAGTCGCTGAATACTCATCCCACTTAAAGCCAAACCTTGCACTTGTATGGTGTCGGCTGGACTGTTTGGATGTCACGAAAGCTAGCATCAGCTAGCTGGAGTTGCTCTTGCTTTAGCAAGTCAAGGGCTCGCAGCCTCGAGAATCATGAATCACGTGAAAACTTCACGTGTAGGGGGGGCCCCCCCCCCCCCGCGGGTTCAACTCCCCCCTGGGACGCTTCCGGTACGTGCTATAGTGCTATGTTTAGGTGGCAGGTGAAGTAGGCCACTGTTTGAGTTTGGAAGGGGGGGCATGAAACATGAAATTTACGCGAGGGTTCAAGGCTTCAATGATGAGCATCACGGGAAGTCAGAAACCAGGCGTATCAGGTACACGTGCCTTTGAGCTTCCTTCGGCATCTCAGTGCATATGGCTGACACTTCACTCGACAAAGATGCTCAAACAAACATACATAAGCCAGGTGTATCTGATACGCCTGGTTTGTGACTTCCCGTGATGCTCATGATGCTGCGTTGCTTTTCTTCAGTCCCTCATTACATATACATGACGATCCAACAGCAGATTCAACAAGCTCACATGTTCATGACATCGACATCGATAGAAGAAACCAAACAAATCATGCAAGCAGCTTTGTTTTGCCTCTGGGACACCTCTTGGGCACCTCTTATGGCATCCACACTGGTTCAACTCCTCCGTGGAGGTTTTGGGATACAGCGCAACAGATTCAACAAGCTCACAGGTTCGTGAACACATCGGATGCATCGAACAGTGTGGCAAAGTCCAGCCACGCTTCCTTAATTATCGGGGACTTCAATTCTAAGGTTGGCTGTGTCATTGCTGTTTGTGTGTCTTACATGTTCACAACCTCATGAGCATTTGCCTCACTCCGCTTGATGTCCCACCAGTCCGGATGCACCCCTGCTAGCTTTCGTCACCTACCCTCGGCCTCAAGTTTCCTTGAGCTTCCCGCTCAATCTCGGACCTTTGATTCTGAAGACAGGTGCTAGGCTAGGGCCGTCGCCAAATTTTGCCAACCTCTGATTTCAGGAGCACCAGAATTCACTCCGTGGTATCAAGATCATTTCTCCGATGCAATCAGCGAGGACACTCCTTGCAGGAGTGGCTCGGCTCGGCCGCAGAGTCAGTCCGAGCAAAAGGCCTGCGTAGTCTAGTCACATGTTAAACTCAGAAAGTTTCATGTTCGGGGGCGAATTGAGTAGGCGGCTGCTACTAGTGTACTCTCGGAATGGGTTGGCTTCGCCATGGCTCTTGGGATGGCCCGAGCCCACCCTTATAACTTATAGTTTATAAGCAAAGCAGGGGCCAAGTGGAGCACCATAGAGACAAACAAACCACCATCCAAGGCTCGCGACAGACACGAACGGTGCAAAGACAAGAGGTCGAACCTGGCTTGCCGACCTCTTGAGCTCATATATAAATATATACAACTTGTTGTTAACCAGTAACGCTACTAGGGGCTCCTTGCCGTACTACTAGGAGCAAGGACGCTACTAGGGGCGCTCCTGGCCTTAGTACCAGGAACAAGAAGCTACTAGTAACAAAGTGTGTTCAAAAAGACTCTGATGGGGATTGCCCCCCCCCACACGCACCAACATGCATTGACAGCATTGAGTGGGGCAAAGTATGTGGATTTGTAGTTGTCCAGGGTGCTCAACACTTAAATGGGAGAGACACTTGAACTCGTGATCACATGGGTTCACACGGATATTGATCACATGAATCATAAGTAGACTATACTACTATAGTACCCTCCTACCTGTGTCTTCTGACATGTGCTGTCTGGATGGGTGATGGAAGGCAGATCGCCCAAAAATTGCTCGCCGTCCTAGGAAGTCACCTCTGCTGGGTTTCATGAACCCGTTGAGGGTGACGCAGCCGATGGTCGCTCAGATGTTCCAGGCAGCGACACCACAAGCTCAGGCGAAACCGCTTTGAGGGGTGCATCGGGTGGGATCAGATTCCAAATTGTTGTACGATGTTAGATGAAGAATGAAGATGTGTCACAGTGGAGGTTTCAATTGCACAGGCTGAGCGAGTCGGCGCGTTTTGAGATCCCACAGCAGTGTTTCAGAGACTCTCAGGTGTCGATCTTGGTGAATTGCGGTCACACCTTCATCACCCTTTTGGACACTTGAAGTTGGATTCTCCCTGTGAGTAATGATAATCCAAGACCACAGCTGCTATAATACATGAGCTTTCAACCCCATCCTAGCGGTATCTAGCGGTTAGGATGGCTATTTGCGAAAGTTACTCACCTAGTTTGGAGATGGCAGAGCACTTCCTTGATAATCGTTTGGCTTTTTTGTTGCCAAGACCTTGTGGATGCCAATCTTATGGATCAAAACCATACGGGGGCAAAGAACATGACATTGAATGGCGGAGCATGATGTCGACGCGTAATTCATCATTGGAAGAATCGTTTTGGATGGTGCAGCAGCAAATGGTCCCGAATTCGTCGACGTCCCTGCCATCTTTGACAGGTAAACTGCTCATGAGCATAAAAATGCGTCATTTGTTTGCTCATTGACATAGTCGCAGTGTCGTGGCAACTTGTTCCTTGGCAGCTCTGGTTCTATATGAGCACCGCAAGAAACCTCCCAAGATGAACCAAGTAAAGGCCTTGTCATATGGAACTTGGGCGTAAGCAAAAAGCTGAAGAGCGTAAGGTTGCGTAAGGGAGTTGTGAGACATGCATGTTGCGTAAGCTTGCCATATGGTTGTGTTTTCATTAGTAGATTCTTAGCACACACTTGTCAAGAAAGGAACTGTATGGACCATGAGAGCTTTGAAACCCTTGGGAACTGACATTTGTGTGCACTGTGTTTCAGGTGTGTGCACTGTGCTTGTTTGTGTTTGCAACTCTGTATCAAACCTTTCTCAAGTCAGCCCCATCATAACATGTCATAACGTGCCAGGCTCCGTTTGGTGAGGGTTTGGTGGCGTAAGGTTCGCGTAAGCTCCGCGTAAGGTTCGCGTAAGCCAACTTTTCATTTGCCTATAGCAGCCAGTAAGTAGATGCTAGTGATCCTTTGCTTCCTCTGCTGATTCGGAGTCTTGGTGATCATGTGTTTGTCGCCCGCTCACCTGCAAACAGGAGCCTTCGCGTAAGCATTTCCCTTGGGAGTATGGTTCTCATCTGTGAAAATGCAGATGCGTAAGATCTGCGTAAGGTCTTCTTCAACATCCGTGGCGCGTAAGCTCACGTTGTGGTCGCGTAAGAAAGGCGTAAGCAGGAGCGTAAGAACGTTATGCGGCATAGGGGTTTAATCATACGTATTTTGCAGAGCTCATATGAACATTATGTGAAAGCAGAATGAAGGATGCTGTGATGTCTTTTGTGCTCAATCTGCTGAAGCTCATTTGCGAACCTTGCCCTGATCTATGAACTTCGATCAACTTTGCTGACCGAGGAGCCTTAGGCTTGCAGGGCGCAAAGGCTTTTATTTTTTGAAGAGGTGGGAAGTTCACGTATGGCTTCGTGTCTAAGGGGAGTCCAGAAGGGCAATGATGATCATGAAGGGCCAAACGTGATTGATTGCATTGTCGACAAATCATATGGACGCATACAGATTTGTTATTGCTTGTAGTTGATTGTCCCAGAGCCCTTGGGTTATCCCCTTAAAGATGTCCAAAGAATTCACATGCTAGGCTTACATTTATTGCTCAGTTTCATTGCAAGTGGTTGCACGGGTCAAGAGACCTGCTGGGCCGCCCTCGGTATCACACATCCAACGATCCTCCACGGGGGGCAGTGACCTAGATGGTCACCAAGTCATCCTCGCAGAAGGCGAAAAGATCACGAGCGGCTTCCATGACCAACAAGCTAGACCTTTCTGTGAGGTACTTGCTTAGAAAGATGCATTCGGAGACGTTGGGAAAGCGCGCTGCCATGGACTTCCTCTATATTACTGCATGTGACAGTTCATTAGTCATGTACTGTTCCCACTTGTTAAACGGCTTATAGTATATATAGACGACTGGTGAACGGAAGACCACTGATCAATTGGTTGACGCTGTGTGGCGTGTTTGTGATGGATAGGGATTTGTTTGATGATAAGAAGTATATAGCAGGTTGCTTACACATGCCTACGCAACTTGCCTGGCAGCTCCTAGCTGGGTGGAGCTTAGGCAAAGCGGTACATGTTCTGCACCCTATTTCTATCGTGGCACCTGTCCATTCTCCGTCAACCTGCTGAACTACACGAAGGGCATGAAGGTGGGACACTTAGTAAGTTTTGCCCCTGCAGACAGAATGCACAGGCTCATTCCCTTTCTTGAGGCGACATTTGCCGCAAACTGTGGGGTGGCTTGGCTTGCTTGATGGTGAGTGGTGGCGTGTTTTGAGTTGCCAGTGGGCATCAGTCAAAGCATGGTGGCGACCTTCCTGGGGTTGAAGGTGAACCTGACCTTTTGACAGCCTTGGGTCGAAAGTGGGAGGTTGTCTTGGAGCAGCTGGCTTTGTTTCCTGTTAACCTGGGCAGAGGCAAACATTTGGCAACTCTGGGTCCAAGGTAGCACTGAAGTCATGCTACATGGACCAAATGCGGCTCACATGATTTTGCAATAGCATAACAAAAGGTGACCGACCCGAGAGGGTTTTCGCCAGCCCTACCGCGGCTGGTAGAACGGATCTATGCTCTTGCTCTAACTGCAGTGGAGTGCTCATTCAAGGACTGGCCAACTAACACTCACAGTTCTGACTCATGAATGACAGTTTTGATACCATTGCGTGTAATGACATGTAGCGGCACGAGGTAAAGGCAGGGCATATGTTGGGATTGTTGGGCTCTTTGATGGGTTCATTCCATCCAGATGGTCTTTAAGCCTGATTGAGCGATCTAGGTTGGTTGGCCATTGGATAGCAGCTACGAGCCACAGCCGCCGCCGCTGCCAGCCAAGTATCCCTCACACGCACCAGCCACGTGGTGTGAACAGGGAAACAGTCGCTTCATGGACCTCATGGAGAAAACAACGTGTACCGCTTTGCAGCTTCCGGAGGCATATTCACTTTGTCCAAGGAATCACTAAGAGATTTGTAAACCAGTGGAGCAGGCCACAGGCCAACACCTGCAACTTGTTGATAGCCACGGACACATACCCACTGCCGTCAGTTGGGCCACAGCCTCACAGCGCAAGCTGGCGCACACGCACACACACTTGAGAAGGGTGCTCCGTGGAGCGTGATTTCAGGTAGCTTCGCGGTGTGCATTAGCCCTTTAAATTTAGATACTGCAGAAAACAACGTATGAGACAGCGTTGCACTGACTTAGAAATCTCAGCGACTAAACAGTCGAACAGCTTGAAAACAGTTCACGTTGCAGGTACAGGAATGTGCGTCCACATTCCCTTCCGGCTGAATCCCGTAGCTTCGTTGGCATGGCTAGGGAAACAGCTGCCATGCCCCCTGCATCTGTACAAAAAGACTTGTAGGGTAGATTAGAAAAACTAGGGTAGTGTCCTTGGAAACAGGAGTGGACACACACACACACACTTAGTCACAGGGTTCATCCAGTAAGTGATCCACGATGAAATGGATGAGGGAAACGCAAGGTAAATCAGTCAGCACTTTTGGGATGTTGAACAATTGTTGCAATCGGCGGTCAACAAACGCGCGGCAGGCTGCGGTGGCGCAGCGACACTTCAGCTGGAAAAGGGTTTAGGGGTATATCGTGCAAGGACCATGAAACAACAAACAGCGGCAGGGTGAACCATTGGAGTCAGTGCGTTGGTCAGCAGGTACGTGGATTCTGTGTCCAGAATCCATATCAGTGACTCGTAACAGCCTCTTCGTTGGACTGCCACTGTTACAAGTCAGGCAGCCCCCCTGCCGACTGAATAGGAAACAAACTCCTGGAAACGGAGGGGGGCACACTCTGACATTGGTTTTCAATTAATCTATTCCCAAGTGGAAAAAGGTGAGAGAACAGCAAGGCGAGAAAGTCAGGTCACTTGAAGTGTTGAACAATTGTTGTGCCCAGCTGTCAAACTCTCGCGCGGCTGGCTGCAATTCACGAGCGGCTGAAAACTGCGGTGGGAAACCTGTTTTGGGGGAAGGATCACATGAAAAACCATGAATCAAACCAAAGGAGTGGAACAGCGTGGGCAACAGTTGAAGGTGCAGGTACACAGGGATGATCAGTCCCTGCTTCCCCTTCTTGTCCACAGCTTCGTTGCGTGTGGTAGGACAAGAAGGCCACACGCCCCTGCATTCAAAACTCTTATAATCGTTACAGAGGTTGACACTTAGATGGTTGCTCGCAAGAGCTATATTATCAGTACGAAGTTCCCCTTGACTGGAAGAAAAGTGCAAACCGAAGGGCGAGGAAGTCCGGAAATTTGAAGATGTTTAGCAAATTGTTGTAGTGCATTAGCCGCTTACTGCAAAACACAGAATGGGACAG